AAAGCAAATTAGAATTTGTTTAATTTTAGCCCGAGAAGGACAAACAAAGCAACAGAGGGAACGTACTGCATTGTCTATCTTCCTTCGACTTCGCCTTTTCTTTACCTCCCAATCATATTTCGTGTCTTTGTGTGCCTTTGAGCGAGAGCGAACACCACTTAAAGCAAATCAGAAGGGCGGAGAGCAGCACGTGACCGCTCTCCGTGGGACAAATACGCTTCGACGATATTCTGCCATGTGACTCGCTCTGGCGCACTGACATCTTCACTAAGGCCATAATCTTCGCCGTTTGCCGAGTTGTGATTCATGCGTATTTTTGGGCGAGTTGGTTCTGAAACTTTGATACTATAATATTGCCTCAAGACAGGGACGAGAGCAAGAGCGAGACAACAAAATGTGCTATCTTTAATGTGACCAAAAGGTCTTCTTACCGATAAAAATCGCAGAGCGTGACAGAGACGCTTTTCGGTTTCTTTAGTTTGAAAAGCATCAGACCAGACGACCCCCTGCCCGATATAAAAGAGTGGCGCATGACGCGATTTTCGTTTGGAACAACTGCCAGTCCATTCCTACTTGGGGCGACAATTCGTCATCACTTGGAGAACGGGAGCGATTCGAACAAAGACATTGCGGCAATTTTGCTTGGCTCATTTTACGTGGTGGACCTACTAATTTGAGCAGCAAGCCTCGAAGAAGTCCGAAGACTCACTGACAGAACACAGACATTGCTCAGGGAGGCTGGCATGGAACTACGCAAATAGAATACCGATTCCAAGCAACTGCAGAGCCTCTTCAATTAAAGAGAGGGGTACGACCATAATTCATCTGACATCCCGTCAATCAGGCCCCCTGAAGTCACAAAGGTACTGGTATGGGATAGCAACACAGATTCCTGCAAGTTCTCTGGTAACCATCTCTTGAAGATTCTTTCAAAAAACATGCCTACAGAACGCTTTGTCCTCAAGGCATCTGCCAGAATCTTCGATCCCCTAGGGTTCCTAGCACCGTATGTCATACGCGTAAAGTTTTCTTCCAACGTATCAGGCTACATGGTTTGCGATGGGATGAAGAACTACCAGAAGCGCTACGGCAAGATTGGACATCGTGGTACGCGTAGTTGAATGACTTAACACGAATCATGGCTCCAACACACAGAATGTGGATGGTGAGAGCAAGATGGAGCTTCAAGTCTTCAAAGACGCCAGCCCTCAGGCTCATGGTGCCTGTGCCTATCTTCGCGCCGTGGGCAGAACTGAAAATGTCAGCGTCATTCTGATGTTTTTTAAATCTAGAGTTTCCCCGCTTAAGACGCTGACCCTTCCACGGCTAGAACTGATAGGAGATTTCTTGGGAGCGCGTATGGTCACATATCTGTGTCCCGTTTTGTTTGGTGTCGCAGTTACACTATGGTATTGGTCAGATTCTATGATAGCACTTGGTTGGATTAAAAGATCAGCAACTGCGTAGAAACCTTTCGTCGACGACTGAGTGACAGAATTACAAGTACTAAGCGATCCTTCTTATTGGCACCACTGCCCGGGCGGCGCGAACCCAGCTGACGCCATTACTATACAGAAGACGGTAAGTCATCTAAGTGCGAATCAGTTATGGTGGTCTGGGCCCGAGTGGCTTTCCCGAGAAGAACGAAACTGGCCAATTGGCAGAACCTTAGAAAATGGGAGCCTCAATGGCATTGACGGGAAGATACGACAGCAGGTCGAAATACAGCTGACCACTGTGAGTGCAGCAACCGAAATCTTGACAGAGGAAAATTTCAGCAGCTGTACCAAGATGTTGCGGGTCACAGCTTGGATCAAAAGATTTGTTCAAGCTTGTCGTCGAAAGAACACGTCAGCTGAACTGCCCCTAACGGCAGACGAAATTACAGATGCAGAAGCTCTCTGGATCAAGAATGCTCAACGAGAATGCTTCGGCAGAGAGATCCAGGAGCTGGTTCAAAGCGGAAGTATCTCAAAATGATCGAGAATAACGGACTTGCAGCCCTTTCTTGACGACACAGGAACCTTCCATATTCGAGGAACGCTTCGCCAAACTACAGCCTCAGAGGAGGTGAGACATCCCACTCTTCTGTTCATAGATGACCCTTTAATCAAATTGCTTGCCGTGGATGCTCACCTCAGAGTATTACATGGAGGCTTGCAGACCACCCTGAGAGAAATTCGTGAGTTACAGAATTACAAGTACCAAGCGATCCTTCTTGTTGGCACCACTGCCCGGGCGGCGCGAACCCAGCTGACGCCATTACTATACAGGCTAGGTGGCGCAAGCTGCCGCCCGTTACAATGGGTATAGCCATTACCATCCATCCATCCATCCAAGATTTTGGCTCTTAATTTCGCGGCGAGCCATGAAGAAGCTTCGCGGAATGTAGCACCTCTCGGCGGTTCCAAGGAAAACCGGCCACGGCGCCTGTAGCAGCGCTACAAAATACGATATAGCTTCGCCAATACTGGAAACTCCTCCGAAAACCTATGGGAGCGTCGGCGAACAGGCAGTCGCGCCTCTAGCGGGCTCGGAGTCTACGGAAGCAGACGACACAATGGAAAAATACAGGCCCCGCGACGTCCTCGAGCTTCGCGTTCCCCGTTTCGTCACCCCAACAGCAGAAATGTTTTATTACGGTCAGTCAGCTCGAAAATCGGAATCCACTGATCGCAACTGCAACGACAAACAAATAACAAGGCGCGCATAAACAAATATGGAGCAGTTTATTTAGAGGTATCAAATGCCACTCAGGGGGATCACACGCGTTTGAAGCGCATCTGGGAAGCGGGAAAAAAAAGGCGTTTAGCTACTCGAACTACGTCGTACTAGGTGACGGTTGAACCGTTACAAACTGTGTTGTCGCAATTTCTTACCTGAGTAGGGGATTATTAAAACGTGCGCAAACAACATGTTAAAATTACCAGAGTAAGCGCACCAGCCCCTGCAGATTTACAAAAACAAAAAAGTAACTTGAAAAATGACCGCGCAAATACTCTCCGAACTTTGCAGAAAAGATGGGGTCCCCATCCCAGACGAAAAAAAAAAATGCGGAACAGTCCTGAACAACGGCGAATGAAACAAAGAGGTTAGCAGACGACACGAAATTACCAATCACCCAGCAAAGACCTCCTTCAACGACGACGATCGCAGGGGTCGTCGGTAGAAGCATTGAAAATTAGCAGGTGGTACTCGCCTTTGATGTTGAGTCCACAACAAACAATGCAAGAGCAACACGACGAAACTACTAAAAAAAGAGCTTCACTTTTTTTTTATTCTGCAAGTTACACGTTTTTTATTTGCTTTCGCGGCGTTGGTAGGAACTAAGAAACAACCGCACCTCCACGTGGTGAATGATGTTGATCGGGGCGAAGCTCTGGTGGCGCTTGTCTGCGTAGGCGCTGAGCCGCAGCATGCCAAGCCTTTCGTTCGTTTTCATCCATGTCATGCTGCGGTCAAATGCTCAAATGCGTATATAACCACGTTCCATACCACACATTCTCCTCCTGACATGGATGAAAACGAACGAAAGGCTGGGCATGCTGCGGCTCACCGTCTACGCAGACAAGCACCACCAGAGCTTCGCCCCGATCAACATCATTCACCACATGGAAATACGGTTTTTTTTCTTTGCCCTACATGAGCACGGGAGCACGTGCTCTCGTGCTCTTGAGCATGTGAGCTCACGAGCAGGAGTACGTGCACCCGTCGGTGGACGGATATACGGACATGGCTAGCCCCTAAAGGCCGGTTCACACACTTGCGTTTGAGTGCGTTTGACTGCGTTGCGTAGAGAACCGAAAGCGAGTCACCGACACATCTGTGCTTCGTATGAAGCGTGGAATCCAATTCAAGGAATCATCTTGGCACGCGATATAAGCAGCAGGAATGTTCTGGTTTCTCGCTGCCGCAACGCAGTCAAACGCAGTCAAACGCAACTGTCTGAACCAGGCTTAAGGAGCTTGGCCCCTAAAACAAAACAGAGGAAAGGAATAAAACTTGACGGTGACAGCTCTTCCATCTTGACGGTGATAAGCTTCCACCCTATCTAGAAAGGAATAACGAAGTCCAGCTCACACTGCCCGGTAAAATAGTCGCACGCTGCAATGTGCTTCGTGCTAGCAGTGTGTGAGCTTTTTTTTTGCTTTCGTATTTCTTTTCCCAGTGACTTTGGCACCCAGACAACACACCGTATCCCAGGGATGTCCCAAAAACCTCCCGACTTCGCAAACTCCAACTTTCATATCCCTAGGACCTCCGTGGGACATCCGTTAGTGAATGATCCCGAAAACATTCCCACTGGGATGTCCCTCGGAAATCGGTCACCGGATGAACTGGGGATGTTAAAAAGTCAAAAAATTTTAGCACTAATTTTTTTTTTTTTTTTTTTTTTTTTTTTAAGTTAGGGTTTACGCAGGTTTTTCTGTGTTGACGTCCGAAATTTAAAATATTATGGTAAAGGTGGACAGCGAGCGGTCTGTCGGATAACGGTACAACGCCCCAAGTATATGCACGTGCGACCCCGCGTTCGACGGTCCGACACGGAGGGTGCCTTCGTGTTGGACACGGGGACAAGCACTATGAAGAACTTTTTTTCTTGTTCCGTAATGGGGCCAGTTTCGTTTTTCTCACATAAAATGATAAGTTCGGCTTGACATCTCTTGAATACAATGCACAAGCACATACACTTGGAGTTTCCTCTAAAAATTAGCTTAGTTTCAGTTTCGGTACTGCAAATGTTTAAAAAAACGAAAACGTTAGACATTAGTATTAGTCCGTTCCTTAAACTATGCACTACTGTAAAAAAGTGTGGAGGGAGGTAGCGAAAATTAATTAACGTGTACATACTAAGTTTTATTATTACTGAACCAAGCATGTATAACTACTGTACAACCGAAGTCAGTTGGAGTCTGGCCACATTGGTCATGCTCCAACAGCTTTCGCGCCAAAAAACGGAAACCGGTCCTCGCCGATTGTTCTGGTCTTTGAATGAAAAAACCAAACACGGACGCGAATTTGACAGACAGTTGAGCAGAGCTTGGAATACCGTTGGTACCCCTGGCGCGTTGCTGCACCCATGGAAAGCATGGAAAATCAACGAGCTACTCCAGGTAACGTTTTGCATTTACACGTGCCACTTAGTGCGGGAAGCGTGTTCTTGCCACTTGTGTGTGCACGCAAAGGCCGTGGTGTGTAACCTGCTTACCGATGGACCAACCTCCAAAAACCACGTTTTATAGGCGACCGCGTAAAAGGGCCTTTGAAGATCTGCATGCTCTAACGGCCGATGAAGTTTTCCAAGTGGGCCAGCTTGGCGACGGCTCGATCCCGGTTGAAGAACAGCATGGCCGAAGAGAGCGGAGCCATCTGCTTTCAACATTCAACTCCGACCTCGAGAGCTTGGAGCCAGATGAAGCCCAACGTGCTGACCTCCGGCCTCAGCAAATTTCAGAGAGCTCAGGCTCCGAGCTCTCGAGCTCGGAGCCAGATGAATTCGACCGAGTTGACTTCCAGCCTGGGGACAATCCGGAGAGCTCAGGCACAGAGTTTGAGAGCTCGGAGGCAAATGATTTCGACCGAGCTGACCTACAGCCTCAGAACATTCCGGAGAGCTCGATTCGATATGAAGAGAAGAGAAATTGCGAGGATGCGGACGTTCATGAATCGATTGTAGGAAAGCTCCGGAGCTGGGCTCTTGACACGGCTACGCATCACCGCGCACTCACTGAGCTTCTGAAGATTTTGCAAACTCATTCCTGTTTTGCATCAATCCCCGGCAGTGCTAGATCACTGCTTAAAACCCCCAGAAAGGCATGTGTAGGGAAGATGGGAGCCGGCAAATACTGCCATTTCGGTGTGAAGGAAGGACTTCACGATACTTTGAAACGAGCACGTTTTGTGCCAGACGTCATCAAGATCAATGTAAACATTGACGGTCTTCCGCTCACAAAATGCACCCGTGATCAGTTCTGGCCTGTGCTATGCCATGTGAAAATTGCGGGAAATGTGACCCCTTTCCCATTGGTGTTTACTATGGCAAATCAAAAGCCGTTTGTGCGGAGGAATTTCTGCGGCCTGCTGTGTCCGACATCATTGAAGCACTGAGCGACGGATTAATCTTCAAGGGCAGGCATTTGCGAATCGAGCTTTCTGCGCTCATCTGTGATGTTCCCGCAAAGTCCTATGTCCTCGGCATCAAGGGCCACTATGGTTACTTCAGTTGTACAAAATGCCAAACAGAAGGTGACTTTCTCAATGGTCGCATGTGCTTTCCGCAGCTTGATGCCACGTTGAGAACGGATGGGAGTTTCCGAAGCCATGCACAAGAGGAACATCATCTCCAAAGAACTGAACTGGAAAAGCTTCCTATTGATCTAGTGAAGAACGTTCCATTGGACTATATGCCCCTTGTCTGTTTAGGTGTGGTTTCTAAGCTCCTGAGATTATGGCTCAAGGGTGACAGCAGGTGTCGGTTAGGCACGGCTGCACGAGATGCTATATCTTTAGCCAACCTTGAGATTGAACGGTACATCTGTTCTGATTTTGGTCGAAAGCCCAGAAGTCTGCTCGATTTAGACCGCTGGAAGGTGGTAGAATTTCGGCTGCTTGTGTTATACACAGGGCCCATTGTTCTTTACTCGAGAGTTCCAGAGCCTTTCTTCTTCAACTTCATGACTCTGCACGCTGCCATCACAATTCTCAGCAGCCCAAAACTTTGCCTTGAGTATGTGGACTATTCTGAACAACTGCTTGTACATTTTGTCGAGACCTACATTTCATTGTATGGAAAGGATAAGGTGTCGCATAACGTGCACAACCTTATCCACATTGCGAATGATGCACGCACTCATGGACCCTTGGATGGGTGGAGTGCATTCCCTTTTGAGAACTTTATGGGGACATTGAAAGTCTTTCAAAGGAAACCCGAGAGACCCTTGGAGCAACTCTACAACAGAATCACTGAACGCAGAAGTATGTTTGTGAAGACAAAGTTCAAGGATAAAAATCACTTTTTCCATGAACATGTCAATGGCCCACTGTCTGTTGGATGTAAAGGCCCTCAATACAAGGCTGTTCAAATCCCTCACAAATTTACGTTGAGGACTCGCATCAATGACAACACCTGTATGCTCAACGAGGGTGACATCATCATGATCCAGAACTTCACTTTTTGCTCCACGTCTGGCCAGGCACTGGTGATCGGCAAGCGGTTCGAGAGCTCAAGTGACTTGTATACCCACCCCTGTCCGTCGTCAATGCTTGGTGTTGTGCTGGCGTGTAACCCTTCCGTCACCAAATCGTGGCCACTTTCAGATGTTGCCCAGAAATGTGTCCGAATGCCTTACAAGGGGAAATTTGCTGTCTTTCCTTTACTTCATTTGCAGTAATGTCACCTCTTTCAACTTTGGTTGTATATTGATCTGCAATCTTCATTTGTTGACAGAATTTTTCTTTTTTATTTATCTAGATGACAAAAAGTTTGGAGTTGTCAAATTCGTTGGTGACAATACCGTCGCCGTTATTCATTTAAACTGGGTGGATGGGGCTGACTGCTTTTGGCCGACTGCAACACACAAGAATCTTGGTGCTCTCACCTTGGAAGGTGCCCAGCCACAGCCAGATTGGAAGAAATCCCGTTTTGCTTCCTTAGGATGGTATGGTAAGTGGAAAAAACTGCTCGAGATATTCTAGCAACTGAATGCTTGGTGGAGACATAGCAATCCCTTCTTTTTTACAGACACTTACCAGAAAGCCAGAAGCAAGTTGCCGACGGCCGAGTTGACATCGGACCTTTGTAGCGACGTGGAGATGGGTCGTGGGAGAAGGAAAAAAGCCAAGAGGATTTTGTATAGTGAAACTGAATCTGAGGGTGAAGAGACCTACCAGCCACCCAAACCGCCAACTCCACCATGCTTTAAACCAACAACGAAAAGTGAGTGGTTTACTCTGTAAGCAGCAAACTGAGCGCACCTCTACGGAAGGTGTTTGCTTTTTGACATTTCACATGTCTGAGTTCTTCAAGTTCTTGTTTCAAATATAACTCGGCATGTTTATTTCTCCAGGCGTCCGCTGCAGACGTAAAGTGCCCCAGGTTCGAGAAAAGACTTAGAAGCCCTCCGGCAAGCGAGCACATGGTAGTAAATGTTAATTGCTCTTGGTGCTTTGTTTCAATGCCTTAGCAGAATTGCTTCACTGTTCCTTGGTTGATGCTGTATTCTTAGCATGTGATTTCAGCGACAATGGATTCATCATGTCTTTTTAGGCAGCCACCGCCTTTTTAAAGGCTGATCCATTACCTCGGTACCAATCAGCAACCAAGGATTCATTGAAGTTGAACCCAGTAGGCAGGCGAACTAGTAAAGGATAGACGTAGTAACCCTTGAGTGGGGACAAAAAGGATGGACGCAACACGGAGCTTTGTGTTTGTGGTCATCTTTTTTGTCCTCACGCTCCAGAGTTCCGATGTCTAAGAATTCATGTGGAGAGGCTAGACATGGTACGAAATATTCATGACTCCTACGGCTAATGCGTGGTCTCTCTTTCAGGCAGTCGGCGTAAATATCATGAGAAATTGTCGCGTCAGCACCATTCACCAACAAGTTATTTCTCTCAAGAGCAGACACACGGTAATAAACATCTACCACTTTTGGAGCTTTTCTGTGGTGGGGTTGTCTTGTATTATGTTTAAAGTAAGGTGAATGCATGGTTTATTTTTCAGGCAGTCATTGTGAATCTCATGGAGAGCTGTCATCTCGGCACCGTTCACCAACCAGTCATTTCTCTCAAGAGTGGACACATGGTAACAAGCATTTATCACTTTTCGAGCTTTTTCTCAACACCACTCCAGGATAGCTTTCCTGTGGTAAGGTTGTCTTTCTTGTATCATGTTTAAAGTATGGTGAATGTTTGGTTTCTTTTTCAGTCAGCCGCCATGAATCTCGTGGAGAGCTGTCACCTCAGCACCGTTCAGCACCCAGTTATTCCTCTGAACAGTGGACACATGGTAATAGATATTTATTACTTTTGGAGCTTTCTCTCAACACTCCCAGATACCTTCTCTGTGGTGGAGTTGTCTTTCTACTATGTTTAATTTATTGCAAATGCATGATTTCTCTTTCAGGCAGTCGCTGTGAGCCTCGTGGAGAGCTGTCACCTCGACACCGTTCAGCAACCAACTATTCCTCTCAAGAGTGGACACATGGTAATAGACATTTATTATTTTTGGAGATTTTTCTCAACACCACTCCAGGATAACTTTTCCATCGTGAGGTTGTCTTTCTTGTATTATCTTTAAAGTACGGAAAATGCATAATTTCTCTTTCAGGCTGTCGCCGCGAGCCTTGTGGAGAGCTGTCAACTCGGCGCCGTTCAGCAACCAGTGATTCCTCTAAAGAGCGGACACATGGTAACAAACATTTATCACTTTTGGATCTTTTTCTCAATACTTTTCCAGGATAGCTTTGCCTTTTTTGAGGTGATATTGCCTTAATTGTATATACCGTAATGTACCGAGCAAGCGCCCTCTCAAAATTTGGAGATAATCGCGAAAAGAGGGGGGATTCTCGTTAGGTGATCAATTTCACCTATATTTGTACTGCGCATAATCTTTGAGATGCTACAATACTTGGAGGTGGGCGCTTAGTGTGGAATGGGCGAACACCCAGTATTTTACGGTACTTTCTAATATGGTGCACACAAGATTTTTCCATCAGATACTCGCCGTGCATTCCATAAAGAAACGTCGCTTCGCAGTCAAGCGAGCAAGTCACCTGCTTGGTGGGAACATGGTGAAAAAAGTTTGTTTTTTGTTTGCTTGATTTGTTTATGGAAGACAGGAACCTAACTTGTGCTTTAATGAGGGAACTTGTTTACAAACCAGCATAGTCCGTGCTTCGTTTGGCTGATTTCACTGCTTTGGAAGTTATTATCTCGAGTGCCTTTTGATATCTGCCCTATTGTGGTAATTCAGTGCTAGAAGAGCTCTGTTACATACCTCTTTTCTCCCGGGAACCATTCCATCTATAGACAGCGGAGGGTTACTAACTGTCTTCATGGACACATAAGTTATTAGTCTTAGTCTATTTGCAATATTTGGGACTAAGTTTGAACCTGTTTACTGTGGATGTGCATTGTTATACAGATCGGGCTTGAACCGCAGTTTGCGCTCAATTTCTTTGCCAGGAGGCCGTTCCATGTCCCCTTTGACTCCGAGACATGAGCAAGCAAGCCAAGAACACGGTAATAAATCCAAATTTTTGTGGCATATCCCATTTTCAAAAAAACAATCCCTTTTGCTATTTGAGCACACACTATAAATCTTTCTCTTACTATTATGTTACATTGTTCAGATGGTGCTTCAAATCCTATTTAAGGATACTTTTGCTGTTTCACAGGTGATCACATTTTGAAAGACGGACAGCCTTACACTCATGGCCCGAGTACATCAACATCCAGCCAGCAATTGAGTGGTGATGACATTCAATTGTTTTCTTAAGACTAGATACCTCTTGCTCTAACATATGTTCGTCTGCTGGGATCGCCTTACGTACAACTTTGTGTGCACTCGTTCTAGGCTTTATGATGCAGGTACTGAAGTCGCTACACATCATGAGACAAACCCAACAACACCAATCTGAGCAGCTGATGATGATCACCGACATGTTACACCATGTGGATGGGCCACCTGCTGAACCTCTAAGCTTTACACAGTTCGAGACCCTACAGGAATTCCTTGCCTTTGAGAAAGAGTTGACTGCATGCGAACAAAAAAGGGTCCAACTGGTTAGCTCACGTTTGAGATGATGCACTCTTTTTTATAAGGAGGATAAATCCATACTACTTTTTGTACGGCCTCTGAGGCCTTCACACACCCTCCTGCAGTAGAGGCGACCCATTCCCCACGTCCAGCAAGTTCACATTTACTATCTTTGGTATTTTATTTCAGAAGCAGCAGATGCAAGTAATTGGGGGTGATGATGCGAAAGATAAAACTGCCCGAATTCTTCGCAAAATGCTGTGCCACGAAGTGGGGGCCGCCTTCACATGGTATGGGACCAAGACAAAGGGAAAGTTCTCCAGTCTAGAGTTCTGCAAGGTGATGTGTGGTATGTACCCATGCAGTGTAATGATATCATTCATGATTTTTACTTTGTGTGTGTGGAACGTTTATGAGAAACTCATTTACAACTGGTTAATTTCATTTCCTGTTGGCTCTAACTAATAAAATCATGCTATAAGACATGGTGCTGCAGCTAAGTAACACATCTGCTTCTCTTAGATTTTAACCCTAAAATATTTTACAGCTTGCATTACAGCGAGCAAGCCGAAGGAGGTGGCTGTTGGTACCCTGAAGGAAGTTGAAGCCACTACAATGTCATGGCTGCGCCATGCCCAGGAGAGGCTTCAAAAGCATTGCAATAAGTAAGCCTATTCATTTGTGTTCAGCTGAGGTTGCAATGTTAAGGTTCATGAAATTACATGTTGCATGTCCAACTCTGAAATATATGGCCACGGTTCGGAACATATTAAGGAATGGAGCATACCACTCTCAAATGAACTGCATTTGCTTTGGTTGAGGTGTCTACCTGAAAAGCTACAAACATGGTCGCACTAGAATAATTAATAATTTAAGCAGACATTCAACAAGGCAGTTTCAACAGGGAATTCAGCTTATCAGCTTGTTCTTCTATCTTCTAGGGATGTGGAAGAACCCGGGGAGGGTCTGTGAAAGCAAGATGGCCGGAAAGCTACGGATAGTCTGTAAGAGCCGGGAAATGGTGTGTGCAAATAAAATAGATGTTACCTTTTCTTACAGATTGGAGTTGCCTTTTTGTTAATGAGAACCTCATCTGGAGTCTTGCAAAAGGGCCGTCTTTACATGCAGTGTGTTTTACATTCTAGTAAACAGCAGGAGGCACTCATTTTGTTAAATGAATACTTGATAATCAGTATATCATGCATGTAATGATGCTGTTTTTCAGGGGTCTTTGGCTACATCCTCAGTAAGAACTGCATTTACAGCTGTGAGGCTGCAAGAGACCCCAGTTGTCATGCCTTGTAAAACTCCTAACACTCACCATAGTGAGATTTACTTTCCTTCAAAACAGCACATGCCATGTCTCCCTTACACCAGAATGTAGAATGCACATCGCCTGTGTTGGCGGCTCGGTACACTGGCTCCAGTGGTTTCGAGTAATTTCAAATGGCATCCGCAAACCAGAATGAGCTGTCCTGTGCAAGTCGCATTGCCATCCAATGTGGGATAATACCTCCCAAAGTAGTCCTACTCGCATCCCGTGAGAGTGCGAAGGGATGTCCACGGGACCTCCGTGGGAACCTCCCATGCCATTGTTTCCAGTGCCATTTGGGACGTCTACGGGAAGTTTAAGGGGGGAATCTGGGATATCCCTGGGATGTCGCTGCCATCCCGGTGGGACTTCCGTAGGACGTCCCTGGGATACATTTGTGTTGTCTGGGCAGGTTGTTTGTTTACTCGCTTGGCGCAGCAGTTTAAACGTACATTTCAGTACATGTTGACTTACATGTCCAGGCAATCCTTGCACACCGTGCCTTCGTTTTAAGTGTCGATCAGCGGCCTCAAGTGCGTTTTCAGCTGAACTCATGTTTGCTGAAAAATTCGTCTGTTGAGGCGTCAGTGGCGATCTTGAAGCCAGACTTAGATAGCTCTTCCAGTTTAATTCGAAGCGGAAGGATTTTCCACCACATCACAAAAACTTGTTTTTGCAGTGGTAATGCCCGTGTCCCACTAGAGCAACAGACAGAAACAAACGACAGCGACAAGCCTCAAACCAGAGTCTTTCGCGATTTGAGAGGCTTTGTAGAGTAAAGGAGGCTATGCTTAAACACGAGCATCATGAACGCGAGGGTATCTTTGGCAGGCTTGCAATCGCTCGTGCTTACTTCACGCGTACCGAACGACTAAACGCCTGCCAAAGGTACCATCGCGAGCATGCTGCATGGGTTTGAGACTTGCCGCTGTCTTTTGTTTCTGTCAGTCGCTCTAGTGGGTTCGGGCATAAGCAGCCCATGGCATGCCTTCCATCTCTAAGTATGTGCCGGTGTACGCCCGAAGGTGGCCGGTTGATCAAC